GTCATTTATTAATGGTGAAGCCAAAATGTACACAAAAACCCTAACATTCAATACAATGTCATAGTCTACGCATTCATTTTGTAGTATTTAGTATTATTAAAAAGAAAACCTTTTGAGTGTAGACTGTCCAGACAAAGAAATCCTCACAAAGAAATCCTCCCACTACTGCAATAATTACAGAGGGGGGGAAAGCTTTTGTTGGTTTGACCTGGACACAGCAGAAGGTGTGAAGAACAAGGTTATGTAATCCACATAGTTGTTTGCAGTCTCTTCTTCTCTCAGTCTCTCTTCCTCAATCCTGTGTTCTTGTATCTTTCTAGCCTCCCCCTGTCCACAATGTCTCTGATCTCTCACTCTCTCTCTCTCTCTCTCTCTCTCTCTCCCTCTCTCTCTCTCTCTCTCTCTCTCTCTGTCTGTCTGTCTGTCTGTCTGTCTGTCTTTCGCTATCTCTTCAACTCTGCTTCCTCCTCGAGTTCTCAAATCCACCCAGGTGCTCATTTCCTCCTTGGGAGACGAGCGTCTGTTAATTTCCCAGAGGTATGGTCGGGGAATGGAACGGATAAACAAATAGCCTCTCGTTATGTTAAAAGACGGAGGCCTCGTGTCTAATAGACTGACGCCGGCCCACGATCGCAGACCACGTGACGACAAAATGAAAAGATCCGCCTGCCGCTGTAGCGTTATAGGATAGGCTATCTAGACTATTTACATGTGTTGTGTGGTTGACAGGGTCGTAACGTAAAGAAGCCTCTCTTTGTCGCTTTGAACCTTCTGATTTGGGACAGAAGGGCTACTTGACAAACTTGCTAGCCCCCATATTTTACCCTCTGACACGAATGTTGATATACTCTAGCAGATCTGCACAGCCAACCGCTTGGGATGTGGACACATCTTGAAATGTGACCTATTTTGAGGTCTGAAGACATTTGAACAGCTCCTTGGACCCGATAGCCCGTGGACAGGGTTAAAAGACATCTGACACATTTCAAGTGTAATGTCCCTCTAAGCGTCTGCCGTCTGTTGATAGAGCGGAGGCTAGCTCGGGAAGTTCCGGCACATTCCGGGCTGGCTAACATCAATCTGCTGTCTCTGGCTCGGAATTCTATCTCATTTGAGGGGACGCCCTAGAAGAAGGGGAATCCACTGAAGATCTTTCTGTTTTCAATAATCGACAGGGTCTTGACAGACGTTAATTTTAACGCTCTGGTCAACTTCTCATGCTTTCTTTGGTGTGTGTGTTTTGGTTGCGTTTCGGCAATTATGAATGTGCACATATGTGTGTTGGCGTGCGTGTGTGTGTGTGTGTGCAGAGATTCTAGCATGTGCGTTTGCGTGTGTGTGTTGGTGTGTGTGTGCAAACAAACGTGGTTGGCGTCAAGTATATTGAACATGTTTATATCACTGCCATGTTTCCCATGACCATAATGACTCTCTCTCTCTCTCTCCTCTCTATCCCCTCACCCTCTTTACCTCTCCCCTGTCCTTCCTCTCTGCCTCCCGCTTTCTGTTTCTCCACAGACTTTTATAGTACTGAACAAAGGGAAAGCCATCTTCAGATTTAGTGCCACATCTGCACTTTATATTTTTAGCCCCTTTCATCCTGTTAGAAGAGCATCAATAAAAGTTTTAGTACACTCATATCCTTTTTGATGAAATGCTCACCGAGTCGTCAACACAGGCTACCTGTCTGCTTTTACTATGTCAACAAGCGGGGATTGAACAATGTTTAGGACAAAACCAGAGCCATGGGGCAGTCAGAACGTACTCTAGTTTGTTCGTGTTATGGATTGTCATGTCATTCTGGTGGTAATCATATTGACATTGTGTGCTGACTGGACTGAGGATGTGAGGTTGGTGTTATTATGCTGAGGTTGTAATTGCCTGCTGTCTCTCAGAACCACTGCCTCGTTCTAATGTGCTGTTCTATTATACAATCAATGAAATCAACTCAAATGACACAGATGTACCCTGCCTTATGTGTGTTAGACCCCTCTTAGAAGTCCTACTCCACAACAGATTTAATCTCAAGCTGTATCTGGCGGGGCCCTACCTCACTGTACTGGGCCCTACCTCACTGTACTGGGCCCTACTTCACTGTACTGGGTCCTACTTTACTGTACTGGGCCCTACTTTACTGTACTGGGCCCTACTTTACTGTACTGGGCCCTACTTTACTGTACTGGGCCCTACTTTACTGTACTGGGCCCTACTTTACTGTACTGGGCCCTACTTTACTGTACTGGGCCCTACTTTACTGTACCGGGCCCTACTTTACTGTACTGGGCCCTAATTCACTGTACTGGGTCCTACTTCAAAAACATACATACATATAGTTTAAACCATGTGGATGCTTAGTCATCAATGCTCATATTTCGCGTAGCACAGTGCAATAATACTGCAAATTGTGGTTATAGACATAGTGTCTGGATTAAATATATTATTGACGAAATTACTGACATAGCATTGACCATCTTATAGACATAGCATTGACTTGGTTATA